TCATCTCAAGATAACCTCAAGATAACCTCCCGTGTTTTGTTTAGTGTTGTGATTGCTAGTAACCCAAGCAACCCACCTAACCTGTCGAGGCATATGCAATGAAAACGTCCATATTACAATGCTCTAAATTTGACATAATACGTCGCATTTTTAATGGATTGGTTCATTCCGTTAAAAACACGACGAATCCAGTTGATCCTTGACAAGATGGCTTAATAACCGGTAGGTCCATTAATACAAGTGGTGGTCATCCTTGTCTTACGTAAAGCGTCTAATTTGTACGCCTTAGCCGGTGTCTAGTGTAGGGAGCTCAGAGAATGTCTTCCAGGGAGGTTATCTTGAGATGATTGATTTCTTGAGATGATTTCGGGGCTATAGTGTCCCCGCGGCCCGGTCCTCGACCAGGCCTCCAAGGGGGAGGACCCATGCCAGTTGTAGTTCTTGTTGGATCGAGCTGTTAGCTCTTGGACCCCGATTTTCCAAGCCTTAGTGTGTGTGTGTGTGGGGGGGGTGGGGGGAGTACTAGAGTAGCAGGAGTGTAGGGGGCTCCTGGCTGGACACCGTCAGAGAGGGGGGGGGGGGGGAAGGGTACTACAGTAGTTGTATTATTGTTGCGGGGGAGTAAGGGTAACCATTCATAACATGATGGTGGACACTTGAGCTTCTCAGTGACGTAGATGTGTGTGTGTGTCCCTCCCCCTCTCTCACTCTCCCGGATCCTCCACCCCCCTTCCACCCCCCTTCCCATCCCTGCACCCCCTCCATCTCTCTGTCCCTCCACGACCTTAGGGGAAATACCCCCGTTCCTCAGACATTAGTAATCAGCTGAGTTACATCTTCATATCTTGAAAATATGTTGGTGTGAATGAGCGTTTGTGTGTGTGTGTATGAGAGTGTTTATGTAGCATGTGGGTGGGCCGGACCAGGCCTCAGGAGCACTGTGCCTGTCTATTGATTGATTGTTGCCGCCGAAGGCGGCTAGTTTATTGTGCACCCCATACTCATCCTGTGAGCGGTAGCGCAAAAGCATTACAGAGGGCACAAAGGGTCTTTATCAGACCTCATCTTAGATTATTACATAAACAATTCCTTCTATCCTTCACACCTTATAGTTACAATGTCAGCTAGTTACAGAGAAAGTGCTATTACAAGAGCTACATATTTACAGTAAGTCATCATACATTAATGGTAGGTCTTATCGCTAATACATAATAGTTTGACCAATGGGGATATTACAGAGTCATAGGAGAGCTTCTGTTTATTATTAGTCCTCACAATACACTACTTGTTTCTTAATCTCGTATGTCGTTCATCTACTGGAAGCAAAATATGGGTACAGTGCAAGGATTTCAGGTAATTTATCCATGGTAATAAGATAGGTTGACATATCATACAGAGTGAGCTTAGATTTATCTCTAAAAGGCTCAATTTTACAACAGTCCAAGATATAGTGTTCGAGTGTGTGTCCCTGCCTATGTCCACACACTTTACACTTTACTTCATCTAGATCCCTATACAAGCCGAACTACCAGAGATACTTGTAGCCAAGTCTTATACGAGCTGTGACAACATCTGTTAGTCTACTGACTTTGTTACTTGCCCCATACACATGTTTCACTTCACACATTTCATTGTGATGAACAATGGACCTGCTAGTTCCAGTTTGCACTGTTCTACTTTCTTCAAATCCATCCAGGAGTTCTCGTCTAATGACACTTTTAAGGGACCTATTTGATAACTCAAGATTCCGTTCAATACTGTCTTTATTTACTGCAGCCTTAGCAAGGGCGTCAACTTTGTCATGTTCCTGCATGCCAATGTGAGAAGGAATCCACAACATTTTTATATTTACCCTCTTGCTAAGTATTCTTATATATCTACGTCTAGCTTCCAAGACAAGCACGTTATTACTTGATTGCAAACTATTTATTGCTCGTAGTGAGGAAAGGGAGTCAGTCTATGTGCCGTCTTGACCGGTGTCTGTCAGTCTGTCACGTGTGAGGCGGACAGGTGAACATCACCATCAGTTGTCATTATAAACGTCCGCGGCCCCATCCCTTCCCCCCCCCCCCGCACGGATCTTCATCACCATCATCACCATCATCACCATCATCACCATCATCACCATCATCACCATCATCACCATCATCACCATCATCACCATCATCACCATCAGGAAACAGTCATTCTTGTTATTGTGAATATAAAGTCCTTTTCTACCTTATGGAGAGACTGTTGAGAGCGGTGATGTCCGCCTTGTTGGTGTGGCCGCTGGAGGTGGTGGCCGTCCTCCACAGCGTCATCATCCTGCACCTCAACACTCATCATCATCATCATCATATTACAGTTTAGACTTGTATTTGCTTCTGGCAGTTTCTTCATGCCTACAGTGAGGCTGGTGGCAGGATGTAACTGTCTTCTTCTGCCTGTCTGATTACCACCCTCCACCCTAGCCGCCCACCTCCACCCTAGCCGCCCACCTCCACCCTAGCCGCCCACCTCCACCCTAGCCGCCCACCACCACCCTAGCCGCCCACCTCCACCCTAGCCGCCCACCTCCACCCTAGCCGCCCACCACCATCCTACCCTAGCCTTCTTCCTATTGGGGAGTGTTGTACATGCTGCTATGGCGGTGTCCACTCACAGGATGGGTGGCGCTGCCCAATAAACTCGCCCCTCGGGGCAAAATTAAAAAAAAAATAGAACCAGTGATGAGTAGAAGTGCCATAGGCACAGTTAACACTGAACATGAGGCCTACGGCTGTTCAATACCCGCCCAGCAAGCATTAGAAATATTGTCGGAACAAAAGTGGACTTAAAAAAAAATAGATGCGTTCCTGCAAAACAGTGGCGGACCAATCGGGTTGTAGTGGATATGTGGATCTGCGGGCCGCTCCAAGCAACAGCCTGTTGGACCAAGTTACCACAAGTCGAGCCTGGCCTCGGGCCGAGCTCGGGGAGTAGAACAACTCCCAGAATCTTCTCCCGATAAGATTCTCGCACCGCTTGGACAGGACGGTAGAGCGACGGTCTCGCATCTTGCAGGTCTGTGCTCAATCCCCCCTATGGTCCATGGGCGCCCTTCCTTCCCGGTAAGATTTGACTTCCTCTGATGCAACTCAGTAGTGATTGTGGACACAACCCCGATGACATGACTTGTAGTTATGTACAAGACTCCAGTGACTTTGTTGTTGTTGTCCTGTGTCGTCACTGTTGACAGTTATCTTGAGATCTTGAGATGATTTCGGGGCTTTAGTGTCCCCGCGGCCCGGTCCTCGACCAGCCCTCCACCCCCAGGAAGCAGCCCGTGACAGCTGACTAACACCCAGGTACCTATTTTACTGCTAGGTAACAGGGGCATAGGGTGAAAGAAACTCTGCCCATTGTTTCTCGCCGGCGCCCGGGATCGAACCCGGGACCACAGGATCACAAGTCCAGTGTGCTGTCCGCTCGGCCGACCGTAGCGGATGGGGTTTGACACGAGTTGTTGTTCCAAAAGTCTTTCCTTAATCTGAGCTGTGTTGCTGGAGAAGGAAGAAGGAACTATCAAGGGAAAGCGCCAAGCCATTACGACTATACAGCACTTGGAAGGGGTCAGGATAAGGGTTGGGGATGGGACGGGGGAGAGGGAGGGAATGGTGCCCAACCACTTGTGGACTGTCGGGGATTGAACACCGACCTGCATGAAGCGAGACCGTCGCTCTACCGTTCAGCCCAAGTGGTTGGGTATTGCTGGAGAGAGGAGGCGAGGTGCTGCGTGGCATTGCAAGGATCTCTGTTGCAATGCATGATGAGTATTTTTTGGTTTG